CTACAACCCATGTCTAAGCAAAAGCTTGTCGAGGAGCGAGGGGAAGAAGGGAGAAGAGTTTGTAGTCAATCAACTATAAAATCGGGCTTACAAATAAATGCCAGCACTTTTGATGCTATAGTCTATTTTTATTGCCGCGAATGTCCAATAAATCGGTGTGTCGTGTACGGACATTCTTTGGGCAACCTCGCCTGCAACGAAGCACACAGACAGATACAAAATGTCCCTTAACTGGGTTTGGGCCGGCGGTTCCGAACCCTGCCTGACCTTGGAGGTTGGCAACGGTGCGCCCGACCGGGTTACTACGCAGGTTGTACAACGCCTAGGGGTTACAGGCCACTTGAATCCCCGCGTAACCGTGCCCACTGATGGCCACCTTTGTAATACTTCGAAGTAATAATCATCTTCGCTTTTTCTGTCTGCGCGAGCGAGGGGGGGGACCTGACGCGGGCGGGGGGGCACTGATGTGGTTAGTAGCTTCTTCTCCCATGCAAAGGCTAGATACATCGGGGGAACCACGTGCAGACACAACGTGGCCAAGAAGCTGCCCGTCTCCCCTCCCCTCCTTCGGGGTGTATCATTTTGTTGTGGTTTCTCGGTCGAAGGCTGACGACTCGTAAAGTAATGGCAACCGAAATTTGGCCCGATGGATGTTTTTGGACTGGCATGCCCCCAACCCCCGGATTTGCCACGGATTCGACCTCGAGACAGACCTCTCACCACATCACCACAGAGTTCCCCCTCCATGATGGTCGGATCGTCACCAAACCTTGAAGGCTGTACGCACCACACCTGTAGGCGTCTTCGAAGCTAGTGGTGGCTGCTGTGGGGTCTGTGTGCTGAGAAATGCCAACCCATGCGAGCAAAAGTAATAATCCGTGTGGAGAATCCGTCGAGGATCTTATACGAAAAATAGGCTGTGGGATTCTAGACTAGTCTAGACCATACGAAAAAATCGCGAACTTGCGAAAAATATAGAGTAAAATATTTGTTGCGGCTCTCCTGGCGAAGCCAGCGCTGTGAACAGACTGATTCGCCCGACCATTTTTCAACGCCAACGCCCAGCGCGGGTGGTCATCTCTACAATCCCTGCATGCAACGCAGCGTCTGGAACAACAAGCGCTCTCCGGGCGTTCACATGCGTAACCGGATCAACGACAGACTACATTTATGTAGCGTTCAGACTGAACGATTCAGCCCTTTCTCTCTGAATCAGATCTCCTATCGCCTTTGAGTTCCTTTCTGCGCACCCCCACAGCTAACGGACTCGATTGTCTGTTTTTTTTTTCTTCGCACCACAATCGCTCTCTCTCTTCCTCGAAACACCAACACCTACCAACACCACAGCGGTTTACTCTTTCATTCCATGCCCTCAACCCCCTTCCTGTGAACTTCTCATTTTCCTTTCGAATCTGAGAGAGGTTGGAAAGGGCAAGCAGATCGCAACAGCAGCAGCAGCAGCAAAAGAGGTGAGTGCGCGTTCGGTCGAGGCGGTAGCGGCGGCAGCCTGCGCTGGTGCTGCGCGCCCGGCCCGTGTTTCGATTCTCGCCTCGTGTTTCGATTCTCGCCTCGTGTTTGTCTGATTAATTCCGTCTCGCTCACGAGGCAGGGTCCTCGTCGTTTGAACAGGGGAGGCAGATCCTAGCAGCAGCGGCAGAAGAGAAGGCAAGTGCGCGCTCGGTCGAGGCGGAGCAGCGGCAGCCTGCGCCGGCGCTGCGCGCCTGGCCCTTGTTTCGATTCGCGCCTCGTGTTATTGGATTAAAGTCCGTCTCGATCGCGAGAGGCAGGGTTTTTGTGGTTTGAAAAAGTTGCACGTTTTGTTGTTCTGTTGGTTTGGAGAAGAGGAGACGAGAAAAAGGCAGAAGGCCCCGCGGGCGTGAGGACCACCCCAGCCATGACGGGAAGATCAGTCGGCTGGCTGGCGCTTCACCGGGAGCCCCATGCCGTTTTGTCATTCCAAACAGAGCAGTTAGCAGCTAGTCGGGCTTTCCTTCGCATGGCCACGTGGAAATTCAGAATTTCGAAGGTTCGGGATTTTGCTCTAGAAAGGCGACGTCCAAATATATATGGACCCAAATGCCTTCAGGGAATCTGCAATTGTAGGAAGGGTAGCAGCAAACTGTCCCCAACGGCAGCTGCAGTCGGAGGACCGCCACCTCAAGCAGGGCGAACTGTTGGTTTCCCCCATCGCGCTACACCTTGTTTATTTAATTAACCTCCGGTCCTTGTGTCTGTCTCCGCTCTCGCCATTTCTCCTGCCCCAATTTTTCTGTTCCTTTTTGGCCCTCCCCCACGTATACCACACCTCATCACAGGAAGGGCCGCCATCATCACAAAACAGAGCACGACAGCCTCCCTCATTACCATGTCTCCTAAGTCTACCCCCAGCTGCTCGGTCTCGGCCTTGGCGGTGGCGATGATGGTGATGAATGCCTCAGCGGCGTCTGTTGACATGGGTCGCGTCGCAAACGGAGCGGACGCTGAGGAGAGGTACTCCGCCGTGGACAAGGCGATCACGTGGGGCTACCACGGTGGCCGCGCGTTGCAAGGTGAGTCAAAACGTAAAAATAGAAGAAATTATGAATCATCATGTAAGCTGCTGCTGCTGCATCGTGCGGCATGCGGAGGAGAGCGCGTAGAAGCAGCAGCAGCAGTAGCATGAGCCGCTCAGCGCGAGAGAGATTTGGAGTGTGTTCGGTGCGCTGCTGCAGCGTGTTTCCCGGTGCATGTACAAATTGGGGCTGTGTGTGCGTTTGGCTCTATTTTTTTGCTCATCTTTTCGGTCGTTCGTTGCGCGATTGTGTTCATCTGTGCGTTGGTTGGAGGAAAAGACGCTGGTCGATTGAGTCCCATCCTCCCTGGTCGGACAACGACCGCGGTAGTTGACGCGCGGTCTTAGATATCTCCACGGGAAGGGAAGGGTATGGGCGTTGGAGGGGGGGGGGTGTAGAACAGGAACCTGGTTTGCCCACACATGAAAGCAGCAAAAAATTGATGTTGCGAACAAAGGGATATGCCAGCTGATGCCCCCCGTGTTTTTTTCGGATCTTGGTGGGCAAGTTCTTTACTTCTTCCAACCTGTTGGTTCCAATACGCTGACAGAGAGTATTAAATCACCTCCTTCCGCCGGGGTCAGCGTCGAATCCCCAGCTTGCCAGGCTTTGATGTCGTTGTCGGGGAGCTGGGTGCTTGCGGGGAGAGTTTAGTTTATCATGATGCCCAGGGGCACGTTCGGCGCGAACACCCTTCATCTGTAGGCTTCTTTTTCTAGAATTCCCGTTCAGGCCACGTTGCGTGATTTTTTCCCGTGTTTGAATCGGGGGGTTGTCAGTAAGGGCGGCGATAATCCTAGACACGTGGGCTTCCTTTGTTGGACCTTTCCCCACAAGGCGCTAAACTTTAAAACCAAGAATCACGATTCCCGGCATGTCGCTCAGAGTTCTGGTGGTTTACGCTGGGAATCAGAAAGCCTCGTGTGTTAATCGAACTGCTGTATTTGCTGTTTACATAAATGATTTTTCCCGTGTGGTGCAATCTACTGCTGTTGCCTGAACGGTGGGCGGATTTTTTTTTTTTATGTTGCCAACTTACAAGGAGGATACCAGTTAGGACTGGAGAAACGCAACTTGACCAAGGTGGCACATTAATTAGTTTCTCCTCAAGCGACCTTTCCCCGTTGGCTTGTTCGTTTTCCCAACCCGGTCGATCGATACAGCCGGCTGGTGCACCGTGGTGTCCGAGAGCGACACGTACTGCTGCGGTTTCGGCGCTCAGGCCTCGTGCTTGGCCCGCAACCTTGAGTACAGCGGGGCCGAACTCCCATGCGAGGTGCGGCTGATAACTTCGGAAGACGGCACGGTCACTTGCGAGGGACTCTCGAATCCGAGCGGCAACCTTGACATCGATTGCGACTGCGAAGGTGCGTGTGTGGTTGGTTTCCTTGTTTCCTGTGGGTAACAACTGAAAAGCGACTTGGATAATCATATTTAGTGCGCTGCCGTACTCGAAACAACGGGCGGGGTGTGTGAATGAAGGTTGGGAGCCTTGGTATAAAGACTTTCGGATTAGTGCCCGTCATACAAGTTGCAGTCTTGCTTGATTGCCTCTCGTTCGTCGACCATGGTTGTGTAACGATCGTCTCTCGTTGGCGCGTTGTCTAGTGGCAGCCTGTTGCGGGCTCCCGTTCTTACCCAGCCGTCCCCCCTCCCTGCCCGTGTTGGCCGCCCACTTCCTCTCGGGTGGAAACCGCCCGGAAACCCAGACCTCGACTTGTTCACGGAGGCGCCCGCCACCGACGCCCCTTCCCCCACCCCGACCCCGACCGCCGCCGCCCCGACCGAGGAGGGCATGACCCAGCCCCCCACCGAAGAGGGCGCGACCCAGCCTCCCACCGAAGAGAGCGCGACCCAGCCCCCCACCGAAGCGAGCGCGACCCAGCCCCCCACCGAAGCGAGCGCGACCCAGCCCCCCACCGAAGAGAGCGCGACCCAGCCCCCCACCGAAGAGAGCGCGACCCCGGCGCCTGCCGATGCGGTGGTATCGCCCGCCCCGTCGCCCGGTAGCCGCGGTGGCAGCTTCACGATGGCTCCCGATGCGACCATGCCTCCCGGAGAGACCAGGGCTCCCGAGGCGACCATGACCCCCGGGGAGACCATGACCCCCGAGGAGACCATGCCTCCCGGAGCGACCATGGCCCCCGTCGCAACCATCATGCCCGGGGAGACCTTGCCTCCCGGAGAGACCAGCGCTCCCGAGGCGACCATGACCCCCGGGGAGACCATGGCTCCCGGAGCGACCATGGCCCCCGTCGTAACCATGATGCCCGGGGAGACCATGGCTCCCGGAGCGACCATGGCTCCCGGAGCGACCATGGCCCCCGGCGCAACCATGATCCCCGGGGAGACCATGGCTCCCGGAGCGATCATGGCCCCCGGGGAGACCCCCGCGCCATCTACCACCAGCCGCGCCGTCAGCTTCACGGCCAGCCCCACCAGCCGCGCCGTCAGCTCCACGGCCAGCCCCACCAGCACTGCGTCCGCTGCGCCGACCTCCTCCACCATGGCCCCGACGGGTAAGTAGCCGTTAGGTTGCTGTCCCTTTGTGATTATGTCGAGGGTCCCAAAGCGCAGGCTTTGGGCGCTTGTACCTTTTCGAGGGTGTTGCCGCATGCACCCCATGTTTAATCTATACGCAAAATTGTTATGTGCGCACGATTCGTATGGCATCAACATTCTTCCCTTCGAGCGATTGTTTGGGAGTGGACGTTAGTACTTACTCCAGCGAATTAATCCTCGTACGAATCGATCTTCGTCCCNNNNCGAATCGATCTTCGCCCCCCCCCCCCCCCCCTGTCCACCAGGCACCATGATGACCGTCACCCCCACCGCGTCCCCGATGATGGACACCGGCTCGCCCACCATGGCCCCGACCGTGATGCCCACCGCTATGCCGTCGGCGGGTTCGCGCGGCATCGAAGTTCCCTCCGCGGCGCCCTCCACGGCCCCGACGGGCATGCCTACCAGCGTCTTGGAGAGGACGATCGCTCCGGAGGCGATCGTGGTCAGCGGGTCGTCCCGACCGTCAGCTTCCGTGATTGCGACGGTGACGTGCGTGCTTGCCGTGGCCGTCGCCCGTGTCTTTGCATAAGCGGCTCTCCACCGCCAGGATGCATTGATGGAGAGATGGCGGCGAACGAGCTGGGAACGGAATCGAAAGAATTTTTGATGGGCGAGCGTGTTAGAAGCAGATATGGTTGGTTGGCACGTTACCCCCTCAATCCCTCCTTCTCACCTGCGTGCGAGGTAGGCATCTCTTGAGTTGCTTGTTTTTCCCGCCCCATTTGCTGTCCAAAAGATGTGGGTGGGACTGGGAACGTGGGTGGGGACTGGGTCTGCCACGCCAGGCGTGGTAGCTGTCTTGCAAGGATGGTTGTTGGCAGCGGATGATGACTTGTCGTCCCGCGCCAGTGAAGCAGATGGTGCTAACTGAAATGTAATGCTGTTCATTCTTCTTTCGTTTTACTTAAACCCCTTCATTCGAAGGGAAGTTGACTTTTTGCGGCCCTTGACTGCTGTAGGAAGGGAAGAAAGAGGGCAGACGTTGTTGCGAATGCGGGGAAAGATGAAAGAGGAACAGAAAGAAGCACGTGCATTTCGCCTGCCTTGAGATGGTCTTGATCGCTGTTTTTCACATAGTGTTGCTTTTGATAATATTGATGGTGGGAGTGCGCGCGCTTGCTTGCTGCACCGGCTCTTGCTCGCGTAAGGGATTTGTCGTGCGAGACGCCGAGGCCTCCAGATTCTAGGGAGCGCACGCAAGAGTTTTTGTGTGTCGATGGGAACATGCCCCAGTGATGAGATTGGAATGTAGCAAGGAAGCGACTCAGCTTTTGGCGAAGAATCCCAACGTGAGGGGCGGAGATGTTTTTTCTCTTGAGAAGGAGCACCCCCAGCAAAATTGAAGGGTTGCTGTTGTCGCCCAACTTCGGGGGAGTTCAACCGGGTAGGGGAGAGAAGTAGTTCGAAGTTGTGGACAAGGCTCGCGATGTCGATGCCCCAGCTCGGCACGGTCGTTGACGTTCGAATTTGGACAATCATGGAAGTAGCTCGGCGGCTGGTTGTGCGAGGGAAAGTAAAGCCCGAGACTATTGCAGCGTTTGGACGCAGTCTCTCGTGACTACTTTTGAAACGCCCGCCCTATGTCCGAAAAAGCTGACCCCGCACCCTGCCTCCGAAGTGATGACTCTCATGCTCCTGTTGGGCCAGGAAAAATGAACGGTCATGATGTTGCCGAGTTTTGTCAACAGTTCCGTCCGTGTTGCTTCTCTCTTGAAGGTAGCTGTGTCTTTTCAGTTGGGGTGGGAGGGTATAGCATCGGGGTTGCATGTTATTCGTGGGGCGCGGGTGAGAAGGCGTCTTTGGACCCTTCTCGTGTACATTATTTACTACCTTTTGTGGTGAGGAATGCGGGAGCTTATTTTTCAGGGGGCTGATGTGAAGTAGCGTTTTGAGGTATTTGAAGCACGAACCAAATTTTTTCTTTCTCCTCGTTCCCCGGTCTCCGCGTGCTGTCTTGAGGGTATCTAGACGCTCGGCTACAGCATCGTCATCGTCCCCTTCCCACCCTCCTCATTCTTGCCCTGCTGCCTCGCTTGACCACCACCCGTCGACTCGAGTTGGCACCACGCTCTCCTGTGTCATGCCCGATGATCCTTGTCGTGGTGGGGCGTGAGAACAGGGGAGGAAACAATTTTTGATGTCGGGAGAAACGATAGGCGCGTAGCGAATGAGAAGCGTCATGTTTTGCTTTCGATTAACAACATCCTGGTAAGGCATATCGTCTTACTTTTTCTTCGCCACGGGAGCTAGAGGGTTCGGGCCTTCCCGTCCTTCTTCACCTACGGGCTTGCCTGTAGAATGGATACCCGATCGTGGTGTGCATTTCCATGGCTGAAATGTAGAGGGCAGCGATTTTGTTTCTCTGGCATACTTCGCCCCCCGCTTCCTCTTGGTGTGTGCGGGCGGGGGCGGAAGGGATGCAGGGGGGTCTTCGCGCGAGGCTGCTTGGCTGTAATCCGGCCCCTTGCACACCGCGCACGGGGGTTTTCTAGGCATGATTAATGTGATTGTCGTTGGCCTCGCCTCGTCTCATGCGAGTATCCGATTGGTGAAAGTAGTGTGTTTTGTGGGATTGTCGGTTGGTCGATTCTCTTGCCGAAGGAAATCAACCGGACCGCTGTCAGCGCCGAGGTCTCCTCGACCAACGGCGGACGGAGTGAGCCTTGGGACACTCGTCACGCCCGTGAATCAGTAAAAAGGTGACCGCACACATAATGAAGGCAGTAAGGGGCGTGAGGCTTCGCGTGAGCCAACTAGTGTTCCACTTGCCGCTGCTGCTGCTGCTGCTGCTGCTCTTATTTTTTCAGTTGTTTTCGCGCCTCGTTGTCCTGGCGTTTCCTCAGTTCTCTCTCGAATGGTTCGTCCCGGAAAATCACGTTTTTTGCTGCTGCTGCAGGAAGTTATCACTCGTTTCTTGCGTGCTTAATTGGCCTGGTGGGTGGGATCGAGCGCACAGTAAACGGAACATCTGTAGGTTAAACAGAGGGTCATGACTGTCGACGGGGAGGGCATCCCAAGTTCTCGGCCTCCGAACAACCTTGGATTCAACAGCGCAAAATGAAGAGTGACAGATCTCTCGGCTCGTCGGTAGGTTTAATTGCCTCCAAAATCTCCATTGCGTGTCCTGTATTTCTTGGGTTTCGTTTGCCCATAAGCCGTCCTTGAAAAGTAATGTATTCGTGCGTATGCATACATATTTGTACCAAAGTAGGGAGGCGGGGGGTAGGATTAAGTGCGCCAGGTGTATTCTTTTCCGTTCATGATCGCCGTCACGCTTTCGCCGGTGTTGCCCCCCGAAGCTCGTGAGCCTCGTGCTGTTGTTGTATTGCTTTTACGGGGGGGG